ATAAAGAAATGGCAGTAGCAACTTTCGTAGATATTGAGGGAGCTTTTAGTAATGCTCAAACAAGATCTATAATTAACGCATTAGCAATAAAAGGGGTACCAGTAGTCCTATGTCAGTGGATAAAAGCCAGCCTAGAAGAAAGGGTAATAACATCATCTCTAGGCGAAGCTACATTGACAGCTAAAGCAGGCAGGGGCTGCCCCCAGGGAGGAGTACTATCACCCCTTCTCTGGTCAGTCCTAGTGGATGAACTTATAAAAAGGCTAATATCTGCAGATTTTTACTGCCTAGGGTATGCCGATGACCTGGCGATCGTCGTAAGAGGCAAGTTCGCAGGTACAATATCGGAGCGCACACAAACCGCTCTAAACATTGTCGACGAGTGGTGCAGAGAGGAGGAACTAACAGTAAACCCTCACAAAACCACAATAGTCAACTTTACAAAACGAAAAGTACCAACAGGACTAAAGTCACCAGTACTGAAAGGAGTGAAGATTCCATTCGCTCAAGAGGCCAAATACTTGGGAGTCATCTTTGACCACAGGTTAACATGGAATCAACACTTGCAAAAAGTCACCCAAAAGAGCACAACGTCCTTCAACTTATGTCGAAGGTTGTGTGGAAAAAATTGGGGATTACAACCAAAAATGTCCCTGTGGTTATATACCAGAGTCATAAGGCCGATGATAACCTACGGGTCGGTGGTATGGTGGCCAAAGACTAGGCAAGCTGGAGCCATTCGACAGCTCAATGGTATTCAAAGGCAAGCATGCCTGAGTACCACGGGAGCTATGAGAACGACTCCAACAGCAGCTATAGAAGTCATGCTAAACCTAACACCACTACATATATTCATTCAAGGCGAAGCCAGGTCTGTCACATACAGACTGCACAAAGGTTCATCGCCCATAAGCAGTTTGCATGGACGCGACTACAGCGAGCTATATAAAGAGTTGGAGAACGACCAAATAATGGGAATGCCTTCAGACGAAATGCTTCCAAAGTATAGCTTTCAAAAGCAATATAAAGTAAGTATACCAGACAGGGAAGCGTGGACGGGAGGACCTCCTATTCATGCAGATCTCACCTGGTATACAGACGGCTCCAAAACCCATGAAGGTTCAGGAGTAGGTATATATAGTACCAAGCCAAAGACAGGAATCTCACTGAGCTTAGGTAAACATGCGACAGTATTCCAGGCAGAAATAGCAGCAATACATCACTGCGCAAAAGAAGTATTAAGACAGAAGGTAAATGGGAAAACCATTGTCATATACTCAGACAGTCAAGCGACGTTAAAAGCACTCAGTTCCATGCAGGTACACTCAAAGCTTGTGTGGGACTGTTTGGAAGCCCTAACAGAGCTGGGTAGTCAAAACAGACTAACCTTAGCGTGGGTACCAGGCCACAGTGGACACAAAGGCAATGAAGAGGCTGATTTACTAGCCCGAGAAGGAGCATCAAATGCTCTTATTGGCCCAGAACCCTTCTGTGGTGTAACAAAAACAACTATCAGAACATGCACAAAGCAGTGGATGTTTAAAAAATCTCAGGAGTGGTGGGAAAACTCACCAGGACAGAGACAGGCCAAAAAGTTCTTAAATGGACCATCGTCTAAACTCACCGAGCATCTACTAAGCCTTAATAGGAAAAATACTAGAATACTAGTAGGTCTATTAACAGGGCATTGTAGGCTTAACAAACATATGTTCAATATCGGTCTGACAGAAGAGGCCTTGTGCCGATTCTGTCAAGAAGAAGAGGAAACGGCAGAACACGTATTGTGCTACTGCGAAGGTCTAGTAAGACTGAGATTCCTTACACTTGGAGAAGAAAAACCAAGGGCAACTAGCTATACCGGAGAACTACTTTCCAGTCTATGGAGTTTACTACAAAAGACCGCATTAGACAAGGTACTCTAAACAATGATTAAAGGATATCCACAATAGATCTGAAAAGGTCGAGGTGGGGGAGGCCACATGGCCCATAGTCCTAATTAAATCTAATCTAATCTAATAATAATAATAATAATAATAATAATAATAATAATAATAATAATAATAATAATAATAATAATAATAATAATAATAATAATAATAATAATAATAATAATAATAATAATAATAATAATAATAATAATAATAATAATAATAATAATAATAATAATAATAATAATAATAATAATAATAATAATAATAATAATAATAATAATAATAATAATAATATTAATAATAATAATAATAATAATAAATAATAATAATAATAATAATAATAATAATAATAATAATAATAATAATAATAATAATAATAATAATAATAATAATAATAATAATAATAATAATAATAATAATAATAATAATAATAATAATAATAATAATAATAATAATAATAATAATAATAATAATAATAATAATAATAATAATAATAATAATAATAATAATAATAATAATAATAATAATAATAATAATAATAATAATAATAATAATAATAATAATAATAATAATAATAATAATAATAATAATAATAATAATAATAATAATAATAATAATAATAATAATAATAATAATAATAATAATAATAATATTAATAATTAATAATAATAATAATAATAATAATAATAATAATAATAATAATAATAATAATAATAATAATATTAATAATTAATAATAATAATAATAATAATAATAATAATAATAATAATAATAATAATAAATAATAATAATAATAATAATAATAATAATAATAATAATAATAATAATAATAATAATAATAATAATAATAATAATAATAATAATATTAATAATTAATAATAATAATATTAATAATAATAATAATAATAATAATAATAATAATAATAATATTAATAATTAATAATAATAATAATAATAATAATAATAATAATAATAATAAATAATAATAATAATAATAATAATAATAATAATAATAATAATAATAATAATAATAATAATAATAATAATAATAATAATAATAATAATAATAATAATAATAATAATAATAATAATAATAATAATAATAATAATAATAATAATAATAATAATAATAATAATAATAATAATAATAATAATAATAATAATAATAATAATAATAATAATAATAATAATAATAATAATAATAATAATAATAATAATAATAATAATAATAATAATAATAATAATAATAATAATAATAATAATAATAATAATAATAATAATAATAATAATAATAATTAATAATAATAATAATAATAATAATAATAATAATAATAATAATAATAATAATAATAATAATAATAATAATAATAATAATAATAATAATAATAATAATAATAATAATAATAATAATAATAATAATAATAATAATAATAATAATAATAATAATAATAATAATAATAAATAATAATAATAATAATAATAATAATAATAATAATAATAATAATAATAATAATAATAAATGACGTACACATTTGGCATCCTGAAATGGTCCGATGCTGATCTAAATGAGCTTGATCGCCTAACCCGACGTCTAATGACCAAATTCCGATGTCTACACCCTAATGCATCGGTCAAGAGAATATATCTCCCCCGAAAGAACGGTGGCCGAGGAATGGTTAACATTTATAAACTATGCAGGACACAGGAGGTAAAACTAAGACAGCGATTGCTTGAGTCGGAAGATAGTCTAATGAGGTTAGCTACCCAAGAAGATCGAGGGTATACACCTCTTAACTTACAGCACCATCATCTTTTGTTTGATATAAGCACAAGACAAGAAGATCAAGAAACATGGGCGGAACGAGCTCTGCACGGAAAATTTCCAAAGAGTCTGGAGTTAGATAACATCGATAAGGCACCATCATTGGCTTGGCTTGACGCTTGTTATCTATATCCGGAAACAGAAGGATTCATAATGGCTATTCAGGACAGAGTTATGAGAACACGAAATTATGAGAAACACTGCCTAAAACTAGAGGTCGAAGACAGATGCAGAAAATGCGGATCAGTGGGTGAAACTATCGAACACATAATAGCAGGATGTCGGTACCTAGCAGACAACGCATACCTAGGACGTCACAACCAAGTTGCCAAGATCATCCACCAACAACTTGCTTTAAACAACGGTCTCCTGAGCTCATGCCCACCTTACTATAAATATCAGCCCGCAGCTGTTCTGGAATCAACAGAAACGGTGCTGTACGGGGATAGGCCAATAACAACGGACAGGACAGTCGACCACAATAGACCAGACATCGTCATTATCGATAAACAAAAGAAAACAGGATTGATCATCGATATAGCTGTACCACTGTTATACAACGTCACTAAAACCGAGACCGAGAAGATCAGGAAATATGAAAATCTGTCATATGAATTAAAGAACATCTGGAAACTAGTCGAAGTCTCCATAGTCCCACTGGTAATGTCAGCGGAGGGAATTATATCGAAACACTTCAGTAAAAATCTCCAAGATATAGGATTATCAAAAAACATAGTGACATATGCACAGAAAGCAGTCATTTTGCAAACCTGCCACATCGTTCGCCGGTTCTTAAACGGTACCTAAGTGGGTTAATAATAATAATAATAATAATAATAATAATAATAATAATAATAATAATAATAATAATAATAATAATAATAATAATAATAATAATAATAATAATAATAATAATAATCTGGTGTGGAGTTGCCAATCTCCCATCCAGCGCGTCCCCGGGTGGTGGATAGGGGAAGGCTTCCCAAATATGGGTGGTACCGATGAAATCAAATAGTCGGCGCGAACCAAAATTGGCACTAAGGAGTAAACCTTAGAAAAAATCTCCCAACGCTAAGCTGTAGACCGCGGCGAGGGTGTGCGTGACTCCGGGAAAGAGGAGCCACAAACGGTCCCCCGGCATCATGGCGAGCGTGTGCGGGACGTAGGCTATTCGTAGCAAGGCCTTGACGGGGTAAGGACGCACTGCCCCGTTGTACTCTTTTTTCGGCCCAACTCGTGGGATTCAAATGGAAAAACAATTAAATTTAACACAGGAGGATGTAGGAGTATTAGAAGGTATGTCGGAGCATGAAGTTTTCGAAAGAAGGGCGTCTGTAAAGAGAACACCACCAAAAGAATTAATGTATGTTGATAGTGCACAGAATACAGACGATGAGGTTTTTCAAACAAAGGAACAAGAAATAGATCCATCCCCCAGGGATAGAGCACACTCCTTACAAAGCGACAATATAAAGTATATTATAGGAACCTCAAAACAAATGAAAAGATCGAGGCAAGAAAGCGAGGAAGAGATAGAAAGAGAAGTATTTAGGAAAAGCCTGCAAAAGCTTAAAAAAACTATAGCAGATCTAGTAGAGGTAACGGAAACTAGTACGAAAACAAAAACTGAGATTAAAAACTTAGTTCAAAAATTAAAGCGGCAAGCCAAAGATGTCAATAATGAATGGGAAACAATAGACAAGGAACTGGAAATCAACAAAGCAAAAAGGCCAAGCAAAGAAATGAAATCCGTAGGGATACAGGTAGAGCTGGAAGAAATAAAATCAGAATATGAAAAGAAAAAAATCGAAAAGATAGGAAGAATAAAAACAATCTTAAGTGAACAGGAAGACTTTAAGAGCTTGGAAGAAATTCTGGAAGAAAAATGGCCACAGGAAATGTACATAAAGACCAAAATAGATGGAACAATACAATCATTAAATGAACGGGAAGGAGACTATGTGATTCTCGCAAATCCAAACAACATGGAAAAAAACAAAATATTTGAAAGACTGCAAGAAAAATATGAAGGATTATCCGAGTTAATAAAAGTTAACGACGGGCAAATAGACTATTTAATACAATCAGCAAAAACCAGAACGAGTAAAGGTGAAAAGGAAGAGATCAGCGGAGCAGTATACTTCCTGCCAATGAAAGTAGATCCCCATGGTGAATGTGAGACAGAAGAACTATTCAATAAATTAAGAGAACTACTTATAGAAACGACAAAGGTACATCCTACAAGTAATATAAATATAGTAATTGGAGAAGATATGAAGGTCTCAACTATCAGAAAAATGTGTGAGTTCATCGCTAGAGGCCAAAGCATAGAAATAAAAATATTAACACAAGGACTACGATCCGACCCGCAGAAACAAAGAAAAATAAAGGAAGAAACACTAGTCATGATAAAATCAGGAGAAAGCAGCTACGCTGACTTACTTAAAAAAATGAAGGAAGAAGTTGATATTGGAAAAATAGGTGTCAAAATCAATAGAATTAGAAAAACGGGAAATGGAGATATTATGCTCGCTGTAGAGGGAGGACAGGATAGGGCTAATACGCTAGAAATGGAAATTAAAACGAAAATTGAGAACGCTAATGTTACAACGAAGAAAACTGGAACAACAACCCTTTACATAATTGGAATGGACCAAACGACGCAAGAAAGCGAACTTATACAAGCAATTGTTAGGGAGACTAATATAAAGGAAGCGGAAATAGATATAAAAATGATTAGGAAAGGAAAATATGGTGATCAAACAGCAATAATAGAGGTTCCAAGGTTACCGGCAGCTGTATTAATAAGGGAAAGGAAATTGAAAGTTGGATGGATAGAATGTGGCGTTAGAGAAAGAATACATGTGGTAAGGTGCTTTAAATGTCTGGAACATGGACACAAAACGTACGAATGTATATCAACGAAAAATCGAGCAGAAGAATGCATTAAATGTGGACAAACGGGACACAAAAGTAAAGACTGTAAAAATGCTGAGCGATGCATAAAATGTGAAGTCGAAGGACACCGAGCTGACCAAATCAGATGCCCCTATTTTAAAGAATTGGTAGAAAAAATTAGACAAGAAAGAATAAATTTGACCAGTACGAATAGGGGAGGAGGAAGACGAACAACATAATGAGTCTTAAAGTTCTACAAACCAACTTAGGGAGAAGAAGAGTGTCGCACGATCTAGCTTACGCAACGGCCATCCAGAGAAATGTTGATATAATAGTAGTTAGTGAACCGAATAAAACAATAATAGGGGGAAATGAGTGGATAAAGGATGAAAGACAAGATGTGGCTATGTTGTTCATAAATAGAAGGATATCAGTAACAAAGGTGATAATAAAAAAAGGATATATCTGTATAAATTTTGGTAAGTGGGTTATGTACTGCTGTTATTTGTCACCAAATATATGCATTCAAGAATACAGAGAAAAAGTTGATGAAATAGCTAAAAGTATTAGAAATGGTAAAAAAGAAGCGATGGTTATTGGCGATATCAATGCAAAGTCGTATATGTGGGGATCCACAAAAAGTGACCGCAAGGGCGAACATTGGGCAGAATGGATGGCGAACCTAAACTGGGTAGCGCACAACAGAGGACATAAACCAACTTTTGTCAGAGGTAACACGGAATCCTTCATTGATGTAACTCTATCAACCCAGAAAATTGCAAAATGTGTTGATAAATGGGAAGTACTAGAAGAAGAAAATCTCACACAGCATCGATTCATCTACTATGAAGTCAAAGCCGACAATATTCGAAAAAAAGCACCAGGAAAAACAAAACACATAGTAGACTGGGGAATTTTTAATGCAAATATTAAACTGAGACTTAGTAACCTGACTAAAGAGGAAAGAAAGTCACATGAAATTTGTGTAGATATAATCAAAGAAGCGTATAGGAATAGCAACATAGAAGCGCAGAGAGGAAAAAAAGTAGTGCCGTATTGGTGGAATGAAACAATTAATGCAAAGAGAAAACAATGTTTAACTAAAAGAAGGCAACAAACTCGAGCAGCAAGAAATACAGAGATAGATGAAGAAGAAAGAGAAAACATAATACAAGAGTATAAAAGCGCTAAATTAGAATTACAGAAACTAATACGGAAGACTAAGAAGGAACACTGGATTGACTTGTGTGAACAACTAAATAGAGACATCTGGGGAGAAGGGTACAAAATAGCAATGAAAGGAATCAGTAATTTTACGCCATATGATATTCCTAAGAACCAAAAAGTTCAAATTGCAAAAGAATTATTCCCCTATCCGGATGTTATGAATGACAAATACACCAGCAGGAGAGTAGCAGCTCCGGCCTTTGACATCATAGAAATGAAAGAGGCTACAAACAACATAAAAGTAGGAAAAGCACCTGGGTTAGATAGAATACCTCCTGAAGCCATAAAGGAAATAGGAAAAGAAAACACAGGATGGCTGCTAGAAGTCCTTAACGAACTACTTAGACTCCAGATATTTCAAAACGAATGGAAAGTGGCTAAAGTAATTCTGTTGCCAAAAGGAAAACCCAATTCTTACCGTCCACTTTGTCTATTGAACACTATCAGCAAACTATATGAGACATTGATTAAAGGTAGACTTGAGAAAGAAGTTGAAGCAAAAGGGGGGTTGGCTAAACATCAATATGGTTTCAGAAAAGGCCATTCTACGGAGGATGCCATGAAAGCTATTAAAGATATAACCGACAGAAGACAGAAATGCTGGAATGTCCTAATCACGCTTGATGTAAGAAACGCCTTCAACACCGCAAACTGGAACATAATACTACGAAGACTCGAATCGCGCGGGATATCTCGGTATCTCATCAAAATCATAGCAGACTACCTTGATCAGAGAGTTATCCAAGTGGCAAATGGAGAAAGAATGGAGGTCAAAGCAGGAGTGCCTCAGGGATCAGTTCTCGGACCAACCCTGTGGAACATCCTTTACGATGAAGTACTACATTTAAATTTACAGGGTCGAGCACAGACCATCGGATTCGCAGATGATTTGGCACTAATAGTTTCGGCAGACACCAAAACTATACTGATGCAAAACACCAATGAGAACTTGAGGCGCATCGAAAGGTGGATGAAAAACAATTTACTAGCACTGGCACCAGAAAAAACCGAAGCTGTGATTCTGACATCAAAACGCAAAGGAGATGGAATGACGTTCCAAATTGGCAATGAAACCATTAGACCAAAAGGAAATATAAGGTACCTCGGAGTACACTTCGATACTAAGGGCAGTTTTCGAGATCACTTAATTAGAGCAAGCGGAAAGGCAGAAAATAGACTAGCCAAACTGACAAGACTGATGCCAAATATTGGTGGACCCTATAGCGAAAAACGAGCAGTACTCAGTGGAGTAGTACACTCCATATTACTCTACGGGGCACCAATATGGGCTCATACACTAAAAGTTAAAAGGAACCGCATGATATTAGAAAAAATACAGAGAAAAACCTTAATCAGAGTAGCATCAGCCTACAAGACAGTATCCACCAAGGCCCTACAGGTTATAACGGGAATACCACCAATCGACCTTATGGCAGAAGAGAGAAAAACCGCATACGAACAGGCAAAGAAAGAAAATACGGAAAACTTAAATCTCAAAACCATAACTGTAAGTAAGTGGCAAATAAAATGGAACGAAAATACGGAAAAAGGACAATGGACAAAGAGATTAATCCCGAATATTAAGAAATGGTTGGACTGTAGACATAAAACTATTGACTTCTACCTCACACAAGCGCTCACTGGACACGGAAACTACAAAGAGTACCTAAAGAGAAGGGAACGGGAAAATGATGAGAACTGCGACTATTGTAATATGCCAGATACAGCTGAGCACACTATCTTTGAATGCGAGAAATGGAATGAAATAAGAAAACAAGCAGCGGATACGATAAATAGGGACATAATAACAGCAGACAACATTATAGCCAGTATGATAGAAAATAAAAAAAACTGGGTGACTTTACACAATATGATAAGGACCATCATGAAAAACAAAGAAAGTGAACAGAGATATGAGTAAGAAAGGGATCTCGTTGTCTCCATGAAGCAGATGTCTAACGACGGTTCCGTGGTTGACAACTAGGAGAACGAAAGGGTGGTTTTTAGTGAGTATACCAACAGAGCAGAATCTGGGGAGTCTCACACTACCATAACCTGGTGTCTATAAAAGATTTTCCACCCGCAAAAAAAAAAAAAAAAAAAAAAAATAATAATAATAATAATAATAATAATAATAATAATAATATATAATAATAATAATAATAATAATAATAATAATAATAATAATAATAATAATAATAATAATAATAATAATAATAATAATAATAATAATAATAATAATAATAATAATAATAATAATAAATTAATGTTTTGCTTGTTTTACAAATCAATATACTTGTATTAAAACTAACATATATGATTTTTACTTACGAATTCTATTAAAAATTATATTGTCAGAATACGCAAAAATAGTCCCTTAGTACATAAATGAATTGGCGCTGTTGTCACGCACGGAGCGAATATGGCATATGTCGCCATTAATAAATATAAGAGAATAAAGGAATACAATTTTTTTCAATAAGTGGTCGTATTAAATGAAATATTAAAACGCGATTGGTTTTGTCCAGTTAGGCCTCCTCGAGCTCATAAAGATGTACAAAATATTTATAAACCTGGTTGTAGCAAATTTTTAGCAGTATGCAAATATTGGGTTCTATGGTTTATACCAGTGCTCCGCAACCTTTCCTCATCTGAGGCACACCAAACTGCTCCCTAGAATTTCGTGGCACACCAAAATCTAAAATATATTTATAGCAGTGGCGTAGCTAGGTCGGGGGTCAGTTCACTCCATGTATACTAATTATTTATGGATGTCCAAACTACCTTAGTTTTTTTTATTGTTTTAAAATGTGAAGAAGCCCCTTTCAGATTTGGGGCATCAAAATTTTCACTCAGGACATAATACATATTTTTTTTTTATTATTCAGATAGAATGAAAAATACAAATAGGTACATACATGAGAACTATACTAAATACTAGGTAGGACAGGTAGGTATACTAAATTTACTTCTGTTGACACGTCAATAGTAATAAATATTTTGACATGATGATGACTGATTAATGTGATACCTGCGCTTGCTTCGTTGAACACAAAAGTTTTATATTCGGCTCAATTTTAGACAGCGCAACTCTCATTTCTTGGTCAAGATCTTTTAAGCATGACCCTTTATCATTTTTAATTAATACAAGCGTTGAAAAACTTTGCTTACATAAATATGTTGTGGAAAACGGAAGTAGTGTGAAGATGGCCTTGTCGGTGATGCGTGGATATTCTGTCTTGATGGAAATCCAGAAAACATCTAACGGAACTTCGTCGAATTTAAGTTTTAGGGTCATATCATTACTTAATTCTGTAAACTCCTCTCGAGTTTGCAATGGCAGTGCTTCCGTGGAACTTATTGCATTGGTTGCGAAAGGATTTCGAATCCAATTGTATTGTTCCGTGTTGATAGAATGGAAATAGTATTCAAATTTTTGTTGAAGCATACTTAAATGTTGTTGGGCCAAATCCACAATCAACTACTTGTTTTCGATCGTACTGTGGTTGGTCCTGTGATACATTTCTAGACATCCTTTTTGCAACTGTTCCTGCCAAAGTTCAAGTTTCTTTTTGAACCCTTGTAATTTATCGGAGCACGTCAATATATTTTCATTCCGTCCTTGCATTTTTTTATTAAGTTCATTCAGATGTTCGAATATATCCGCCATGTATGCAAGTTTGGCTATCCAGTATTCATCATGAAGGTGCTGGCATAGATCGTACATATCTTGACTTGAAAGAAATTCACGCACTTCGTAGCGAAGTTCAAACAGTCGAGCTAAAACTTTTCCCCGGGATAACCAACGAACTTCTGTATAAAACAGTAAGGATTCATGTTCGCTTCCCATTTCTTCACAGAGTATTCCAAAGATTCGCGAATTTAAGGCTCTCGATTTAATTATGTTTATGATCTTAATACATTCATTCATTGTGATCGA